AATTCAGTTTCATCCGTTTTTTGCCAACTTCCAATTCACATAAAGTGCATCATTGCCATGGCTTTACTCTTTAGTCCCAAAATGTAATCCCCAATTAGTAGAGTATAAATGTCTCTTTTTATTGTTTTTGTTTTTGTTTGGAGAACAGTACTTACATTTCATTTATCGAAATGGAGAAATAAAACGTAAGAAATTAACAAGAGTCCAGAGTAACCCCTTTCTTCACCAAATCATCTGCAACCCCATTTCCCAAATAGTTGGATATAAATGACAGTGGGTTTGGGATCCAACCAAAAGAGAGGCCCGTAAAAAATAACAGAAATTTATTAAAGGAAAAAGTGCATATAAGGATGCAATCTTAAAATGTAGAATTAAGGTGCATCTAAAAAATATATTGTAAAAAGGTTGTTTTGAAGTTGAAAATCCTTCCAATTGATCATCTTGACGTCGAGATGTGTGAATATGAATATAAAAAAAAAAGTTCAAGTCCAAAAAATAATGCATCTCGCAATACATTATCTTGACCGTCCATTTTCAAGATTTTCCCGTATTTGTAGATCTACTTGATTTGGACTATTTTTGGAGTCTAAAATTTCATAATTAGAGATGAAAATGGATTCTCAGGTTGTCCTATTAATTTTTTACACCAAGTTGACTTATGATAAAATTTGGGGGTACACCTTCCTTTTAATGTTTAAAGTTACAACCTTATGCAAAAACTCGAACAGTTTGCAATCTTATGCAAACAACACCCTCAAGGTTACACATAAGAGATGAGCTATTTAATATTGGGTGTGGTTTGTGCAAGGCTCCAATCTTATAGGAAGACATAAGGTTGTAATGCTTTTGCACCTAAGAGATGAGTTATTTAATATTGGGTATGGTTTGTGCAAGGCTGCAATTTTATAGGAAGAAATAAGGTTGTAATGCATTACACCGTTTATTTTAGTTGGTTACTTCTTTTAAGACGATGTTAAAAAATGATATGTCCTTTGAAATAGTTTTAATTCTACACTATTCAAATAAAATGGACAATGCGCAACCTTATATAAATGTTTTTCACTAATAAATATTTTTACCTATTTTTATTTATTTATTTAAAAAAATACACTAAAAATACACATGATAACGAGTCCGAATAGATGAAAATATGTATGTTTACATAGTTGATGAAGTGTATTAAAAAATAATTTCATTCAAAACAAGGCCACCCTAAGTCCATGCCCAAGCTCATCACTCCTTCCCTACCCTCTATCAAATTAATCCTAGATAGTCATATTTTTTAAAAGTAAAAAGAAGAAGAAGAATTTATTCAAATACTCATAGGAGAAGACGTATTTAATAACCTAGTCATATATTTTTACTTCAAAATACCATCAAAAGATACATGATCATGCGCTGAAAAAGTTACAAATAGATAAAATGATAAATAGTTTATATCTTATAAGCATTTTAATAAATTTTCCCCCATGAAAAAAAGAAAGACGAGAAAACCAATGTCATTTACTAGCTATGCCTAATATATGATACCCATCAAGTCAACCAAGGCTTTCAAAAAACAATGACATTAATACGCTGTGGACCTTGAGTGCAATGGTGTGAGACTCCTAGTTGCATAGTTTAGTGAAATTTAATTTTGCACCTACAAAATTATAGAATTGGCCTTCCCCAAAAAATGATTGCAATTAAAAAATAGATAAATTTTATATGAAAAAGTGGAAGTTCAGGAACTCGGCTCAAGCTCCCTATACAGGCCCTGCATGAGAAAACTATGGTGGTCGTGTCTGCTGGACTCACCTGAGCATTGTAGGGGGAAAAGACCACGAAAAACAAAATGATGGTAAAAAGAAAATTTAAGTAAAAACAACACTAAAATTTTAAAGAAAATTGTTTCATGCGGGCTGGGACCGACATATGCGGCCCAAAAAGTGTAAAATATCCATCTTAAAGATGAATGCAAGTAGGTGTTCCATCGGTCCAAATGTTTTCTTATTAGAGTTATTATTTCTAGTTTTTAAAATTTATTTATTTTTTCCAGATTCATGATCTCCATGTTAGAGATTACATGTCCTTAAAAATTAGGTCTTAAAATCCATTTCAAAAGTAGATTTATTAAGAAGTCTGTATTTCTACATATGTGGGCTTGGCCGCATAGAAACCAGGTCCATATGAAAATAAGCCACAGGACAAGAAACACCGACAAATCATTATTAAAATTATTAAAATTTCATATAGACTATTTATGCATTGATTTAACATTTTAACGTAATTTTTGTCTTTGCATTTTCTACATAACCACGAGTTTTACCCAAGTACTCGGATCAGTAAGAAGCCGAGTCCAAGTAACTCAGCCGTGTGCCTATTCCCTGGACACCAGTCCATATACACAAAATTATGGGATCTCCCTCGCTTTTTACCTTTGAATTTTAAAAACAAGTAAGTCATAACGTGATATGGAGCTCACACTATTTACTATGAGCAGTATGTCGAGACTCGCCTCGGCTAAGGGATTCACCCCTTGACTTAGGCGAGTTACTCGACCAAATCTTACACATGACAAAGGCCCTAAATTTTTTTATATATAAAAAAAAGAGATAAAAATATAGTAAATGTAAAAAAAACCTAAAACAATAATAAAAAGTTTGCATGAGCTTTAAAAAGTAGAAAAAAAAAATAGATTTTACAAAAAAGAACCAACTTAGAATTTGGGACATTAAAAAATCCAAAAAAAAAAAAGGCAAAAAATTGATTATGGCAATAAGAAAACACCAATCTTTTGTGAATACATAATCACATAAGAAAAGTTTGTCTATGATTTTCTACATTTTTTTACCGTTTTTAGTTTTTAAATTTTTTTTATACACCCAAGTTGTAGACACAGCTCGGGGGCAGAGTAACATGGCCGAGTCCGAGTGGACCCGGCCGAATTCTATCACAGTAATGTGAGGGGCCTTCCATCATTATTCATTTCCCTATTCCCCTTATCCACATCTCAAAGTGGATAGAGATCCAACGGTGTTGGGATGAACTCCCAGTATATGACACCATGTATATGCTACTATGGGCAAGTCAGACATGGGTGTCGGATCGCATGTCCAATATCTCTTAAAAGTTCATGGAAATGTCACCATAGTTTTATGGTTCACAAGTAAATATGGCCTAGGACCAACCCTTGAGCCTATTTTTGGATTTGGAACTTTAAAAACACCAAAATATTTTGTTTTCCTTGATACTTCCAACACTTACTCTAGGGGCTGTTTAATCTGGTATCACTTTAGTATAGAATTTAAGTTTCCTGTTAATTATGGCTTTACACTCTAAAAATTTGGGGATTCTAGGATAAAAATTACTCAGCAAGTCATGGTAAATGTAGTGATTGCATAAATAGTGATTAAAAAATGACCAATTTGACTCAGATTAGCATTTATCGGATCAAGATCGAGAGGTGGGTGACTCTAACTTGAGGAACATTGGAACTGATTTTATCTTTTATTTTCTTTGGAATAACGGAATCCAGATAGGGCTAATAGGGCCATGTAACGCCGCCATAAAATTGTTTGTTAAAATATTGAGTCTCTGCAATATACAGTCCACCGATATCACCCCTCAAAACCTAGGATTTTGGGAGAGTTCACCATCCCTCACTCTACAAATCATTGTAAATGTAGTCATTTGTATTGCTTCTACAATGATTAAAAATTGCCAATCTGACTCAAGATGGCTTGAGTGGGATTGAAAATAAGAGGAAGGTGATTATGGTTATCTGTTTAAAGTGTGTTTCTCAAAAAAAATAGAAAAAACAAGAGAAGCTGATTATGGTTTGTGGAATTTTAAAATCAATTCGATTTTTTCATTGGTTTTAGTTGATCTTTTATTTTCCTTGTCATTTGTAGCCGATTTGAATCGGGAATTGCCTGCATTGGACATGGTGAATCGAGTCCAATTCCCATTTTCAAAAGATTGGCTCTTATTGATACCTCTAATCAATCTTTTCTTAACTTTCCTTCTTAGTAATCATCAATAATATTTGTCACCTTCTTGACCTCTTTAACATTTGCTCTTTATGACCATGGATATGATGTAAATCGATGTCAATGATTAACCATTTTTATTGAATCTCTCCTTCCATTAAGCATCGATGATACCATGTAAACATACTCTTAATGATTGCCCCTTAGTATTGAATTTCTTATTTCTCTTTTGGCTCTTATTCATTCCCTTTTTGATTTAGACCGTCGAATCCGTTGAAACTGGCTAGTAAGACCGACTTAAAACAGTTTCTGACTGATTTTCAACCAAATATTATTTTTATTTTGAACTAAATGGACCAATAAACGATCCAATTAATCAAACTACCTGTTCGTACCAGTATTGATAACTTTAGTTCCTCTTGCCTTGTCATTTCATTCCATACGGTTAACTATTTGTTGATCTTTTGGGGGGCATGCAATGTAAGGCTTTAGGGCACATGCATTTCAAAATTCACCGTACTAATTTTTTATTAATTTTTTACAAGGTCAGAAAGTTTAGGGTCATCGTTGTCATTGTATAATTATGAGGGGGTTCTTAGGTCTTTTTCCATGTCGGGCAATGGCTTCCCCCAATTGAGAGAGAGGGAAAAAACAAAAGGAAACCACAGAGGAAAACAATAAAACAAAATAGAAAATACTTAAAATATGCAAGAAAACAAAATAAAAACCGAAAAAATTTGAAAATATTAAATGTTTTTTGGTTTTTTCCCTACTCTTCGCCCCCTCGTCCGCTACATAACGACAGGCGTTAACCCAAAACCCAAAAACCCCCACTCATTCATTCAATCATAACTCCCTCACCTCCTCGCTTCCTCCTCTCTCTCTCTCTCTCTCTAAACCACCTTTTCCTCACATCAAAACCGCTATCCGTACCCCACACCTTCAAAGCCAACCCTGGTTTTCCCCATCCCCCCTTTGCAGGAGCCCTTGCCCTATAAAATCCCCCTCTCTTTCCGAAACCGCTCTTCCTTTCTCTAAATCCACTGATGCAACAGTGGAGATCAGGCCTCCATCAAAGAGACCGCAATCCTTTTGCAGCGAGAAAAGCTCAGAATTGAAGCAAAAATGTCCCTCGAAAACGCGTCGGAGCACGTCTGCTATGTTCAGTGCAACCTATGCAACACCATTTTAGCGGTATTTTGCACCCGCCATTAACACGTATCCTGAATCTTTGTAGTTTTTTCTCCATTTGAGTTCTCTCTCGTAACTATTTTTCCAATTCAACCTTGGGGAAATTCGAAATATGGCTTCCACGAAAATGCTTCGGCTGATCCTGTTCTAAGCTCAATTATGTTCTCAAAAAGCCTTATTCTGAGGCCACTGCAACGCACACTTAGTGAGAGAAAGAGAGATCCTTCTATCTTCTGGTACACCAAAACACACATTAAGAGAGAGAGAGAGAGAAAGGGAGGGAGATCTTTCTATCTTCTTTCCCAAAACGTAGTAAGAGGCACTTTTTTTTTCCCCTCTCTCTCTCTTGAAAATTCTCTTGATATTGTGATCATTTTGTTCGTAACTTCCATTGCTAAAATAATTTTACTAATATCATTTTGATTCATACGAACTGATTATTCATGGTTCATTTACGCAGATTTTGTTATTCCTTGCTATCTTCGCTCAAATTTTCTGAAATAGAAAAGAATCCGTTTTATTTCCCATATTTTCTTGGTGAATTGGTTTTAAAGTATAGATTTTAGAGTAGGGTTTCAGGCCAGTAGTTGTGGTTACTCTTTAATTCATTAAAGAAAAGAAGAACGTCCCTGAACTTCCTCATGCTTCTCGCTTATCTTAGTTTAATGGAATCAATGCAACAACAACAAAAGGGAAAGAAAGTATATGCATCTCACTACAATTCTTCTCTTTCATCACATTTTCTAACAAAATTTTATAGCATTCGGTTGAAGAGTTTTGCTGGCGATCTACTACTTTTAATGGAGCCTCGAGTTTACTTCTCATTTCACTTTCATGCCCTGAAAGCCATGTTTAATGCTTCCATATTTGATTCCTTCGCTTTCCGTTCTGTGCAAGAAAAACTTAATTCAAGATGTCCAATCTCTACTTTTTTGAAAGGTTTGTTTTAACTGAGTTTAAGCTCTCTGAAATCTGGTCGATCCATTTTTAAAACTTCTTTACTTTTCTAACTGACGCATAACATCTCTATAAATTATCCAAAGTTCCGTGTGGTTTTCTTCATTTCACCACTGTATTTAAGCAATAAACATCAATTTCAAATCGCAGTTGCAAAATTTGTCCTGGATTTACCAGCTGTTTCAGAGACTGAGAGTCCACAACGTCTCTCTCTCTCTCTACTAAAAAGGTATCAAAATTTTCCTTTGATGGTCCTGGGTCATTGACACATATATTGTTTCACGAAAGTCAATGTTTTTTTTTTTAATAACTTAATTTGTTTTGTAAATGTCGTTATTCAATTATCGTTCGTATATCTCTCTCTTCGTTTAGTCAAGTTATCTTGAGGAAGCATAGGATCCATTTCTCCCTGTGTCTCGATAAATCTTTCTCTCTATCTCACATGGATTAATCATAGAACGTTCCTTTTGAAGGTCTTCAACTTGTAAATGTTGTTGAACTCATTTCCAACTCGTTTTAGTTTGATCCTATGGACTCTCTCTTAATTTTCACATTTCGTTTGAGATGAGAGATGGATCATGATGACCTCTGCAAGTCCTGCGAAACACCCGCGAGGCTCTTTTTCTTTGGATGGTGGCGACCACCATCATTTTTAATATCCTCTTTTCAGCCTACTTTCCTTAGCCTTCTTTTCTCTCTCCTGAGCCTCACCTGCAAAAAAGCCCAACTTTCCAGATCTCATCTTTTTCCTTGAATCCATCTCTCTCTCTCTCTCTCTCGAGCTGTGGTATCTGTCTCGTACGTCGTCGTACTTACGTTCGGTCGTCCGTCTCTACTACTCTCGTCTCTCTTCTTCTCTCTTCTCTCTCTCTCTCTCTCTCTCTCTCTCTGCCAGCTTAGCGTAGTACTACATACATAACTCCCACCTTTGGACTCAAACCCTAAACGGCGTGGCGCCGTGCCTTTTGCCATTTCGTAAAACGAGCCTCTGCTTGTCAAACCCACCCTCCATTTGCACGCCCCATTCTCTCCTCCTCTCTCTCTCTCTCTCTATACACCCCATTAACGTTAGTGGGACTGGTTCGACCTCCTACAACGTTAAATGTCATGGCCGGAAATATCGGGAGCTCATTTTCTCCAACCTTATTTAACAATGAATTGAACTTGGACCACAAACTCACTCTCTCTCTCTCTCCCCTTGTAGATTATTGTATATTTATTACTTTGTTGGTTGTTTAGTTGAAGTTGAATTTTGCAGGTTAGTGTTCCAGGAAGCTGCTTGTTCACTATTGTAACAGTAAGATGCGGGCATTGCACCAATCTGCTCTCTATGAATATGGGAGCTTTGTTGCAGACCATTCCTTTTCATGATCTTCAGGTCCTACTCTCTCTCTATCTCTCTCGACCCCAAAACCAAGAAAACTTCTCCAATCTCTTTCTGGAGACAAGAATAACGGATGCCAGAAATTAGATGCTTTCCACTTTCCAATCTCTGGTGATTTTTTCTCCCTCGATTTGATAGATGGGCAATGTTATTATTCTAAGCTCTTTGTTATACAAAGAAAAATCTCAAATCCATGAGGATCTCCGTGAACCCATCAAACCAAATGGCTGACATCTTACTGTTGATGCATTAACTCCTAATACTTATTTTATGTTTTGCGTTTGGCCTGCATATTAAAAGCAATAAAGGACCGGTACTTTCAAATAACTTCTAAACATTCTCACAATACAGCAATAACAAGCATGATTATACTTTATATAATATGTTTCATTGAATTCTTCTTGATGTAAGCAACAAATATTCCAATAGAGTGCATGTCCAACACTTCAGAAGAATTTGCAGAGCCCATGAAAAATGTTTTTCTATTTTTCCTTTTTTTTTTTTTTTTCTTTTTCTTTTTCTTGGTTTACATACTCTTCCAAGTACTTGAAGAACCCATTTAAAGGAAATAACAAGACATACATCGCTATTGTTTGTAATATAAATATTAATCTTTACATAAATTATTTTTGTTCAATCGATATTCACGCTGGATAAACGAAGCTACGATAATTTTATTTGCTGAGAAAAAATGCAGAACCAAAGCGTGGCCCCTCAGGAGCGTCAGAGAATGGAAGATGGGTCTTCCTCCAAATCTATTAAGGATTCCGAGACGATCCCCAGTGAGAATGAAGAACCAAGAACAATACCTAATCGACGTAAGTTTCTTCTGTTTTCTTTTTCTAAGTTTTTTCCACAAAGAAAAACGATTTTTTATTCAAGGCTCCACGCTTTTCCCCACATTGGAAAGATTTTTCTTTATCACGGACTAAATCTTGTAGATTTCTTTTACAAGAAGGATTTATATTGCTCGAATTTTTATCTTTAAATTTTTGTTGCTAAATAACTTTGGTCCAATTACTTTTTTAGATGAAAAGTTTGGTCATAGAAAACAATAACTCAGAGAGAAACTGCAGAAATCAGTGAGTAATAATTAGAATATTTGCCATGCATTATTTTTTTGTTCCTTTCAATTCCTTCTTTTAATTTGGATTGAATTCGAGCTCGAGGCACCATATCTCCTGTTCATCTTCAAACCAATTCTATTTGGTGTTGCATCTCTCTCTCTCTCAAGAGACATACATACATTTTCCAATCTTTTGCTTTGCCTTCTAAACTACTTTGTTTCCACTATAAAAGTCATGGCCACCCCACCACCAAAAAAGAGAATCATAAAGGAAATAGTGATGAGTGAGTCTCCCAATCTTGGACCCAGCTTGTGTTAAGAACCTTGTTCAGCAGCCCTAAAACCTAACTCCTAGGCTTTCTCTAATAAGCACAGTCTTCACATGAACATTAGATCTCAATAAGAAAACAAAATTGTGAGATATTAATCTCTGTCTTTCGCCTTACCATGACCAAGTGCTAATACGTTGGAAGACACAAATCTTGCCTCTGTTTCTATCAGTCCCACCCAATACATTGGTGGGGATATTAATAGTGATGGTACGTACTATTATCACTCAAGTTTTTCGGTTGGAGCGATAACTTTATTTGTCCAGCCAAGACAGTTCTGAATTATTACCAATTTCTTTTTGGGGTAAGATCAGTGGGGATTACAGATCCCCCACCCGTTTTTTTAGAAATGGTTTGTGATTTTTTAACGAGCCAATGGGAATGGAAACCTAGATCAGTAGTTGAGGCTCAGGTGGTGTCTCAACCCGATTCTCAGAATTGGTACCAATTGAGAACAATGCATTTCTTTGTGAACCAAGGAATATATTGAAGAAAAATCATAAAATGTGACAACCCATTATGCCAAGGAATATATTGAAGAAAAATCATAAAATGTGACAACCCATTATGGCAAGGAATATATTGAAGAAAAATCATAAAATGTGACAACCCCTTATGACTTTACTCCTGAATTCCAATTGTTTTTGTTTCAAACCAAGTGCACTTGGGTGAACTCAATGTTTCCTCTACTATAATATCTTCATTCTTTTTTTAATGTTAATTCCTTTACTATGATATCCACGAACTGCTAAGTGTGTTCCATCTTGGCTTTCTTAATTTTTACATAACCAGCACCAGAGAAGAGGCAACGCGTTCCATCAGCTTACAACCGCTTTATAAAGTATGTAATATATCATCTAACCATGAGCATACAACTCTCTTTTATTGTGAACTTGTCAAAATTTAAATCTTGGGTATTTTTAAACAGCATGAGGCCTGGAAATTGGCTAAAATGGTTTTACATCAAAGGCTTAGAGACCATTTACCTTATCGCTACTTGTTTGGGTACAGAGAGGAAATCCAAAGGATCAAGGCTAGAAATCCCGAGATAACCCATAGGGAGGCCTTCAGCACTGCAGCAAAGAATGTAAGTATTTCATTATTCTATTATAAAAAGACAGTTAATATTTACTGGATCTTTAATATCTGCAATGAATTTCTTGATATTCATGACAAGAGAGATATTTGAATGACACTAGATAATTAGCAGCTTTAGGATGTGATGACAATGATATTGATATGCAAGACCAAACCAAGACATAAGAAATAGAGTGAACATGAGGCAATATGGACAAACAGCATGGGACCTAGTTCCAATGGTGGAAAGAACTAGAGATTGATGTTCATCATTTAAGACTCAGTAAGGATAAAGGAAATCAAAGTGACCCCCACAATCTGATCGTAGGTTGAAGCCCAGGATCTAGCGCATTGCACATATTAACCATTATATAAGGTTCTTAATTATGAAGATGGAAAATCTTTTGAAATCCATTTCCCAATTGTCCACTATAGGAAAAATACTTGTGTAAAAAAATTATCTTGAATCTAATATTTTGAGGTTCAAAAAGATGGTTCTTCCTCAAGGACCAATTAATAATAAAATTGGACTCTCTTAAGAGACATAGAATTGGCACATATCATACAAGTAACTTTGACGGCTTAACCAGCCGTCGTGGTGGCGTGTCGTTCACTTGCGTCGAAGTCGGGGGATCGAATCCCGGCTCGTTGTTTAACTGATGCCATGGACGCTCCACTTCTCCCTTTCTCCCCCCTCCTCCTTCCTTCTCCTCTTTCTCTCATATCATACAAGTAACTTTCCATATGAGATTTTTCCCAAACAATATTTTTGCCAATGAGAACTTTCCTTTTAAAACTAAACCCTCCATGTATAGGGACTAAGGTCGAGGATATCCAATGGAATTTACCTTTTTATAAACTTATCCTTTGCCCTAAAAGCACTAAAAACAACTTTTACATGAATTAATAGAAAAGAAATAGCAAAATCAGACCTTTTAAGTTCCTTTTGATTTCAATGCGATGCGAAAACCACAAACAAACAGTTCCAAACAGATATTCCCAAAAACCAAATATCTATGATCCCTAGGCTGAGCCAAAGCGGCTAAGTGAGGAATTTGAACCATTCGAACTATTTCTTTATCTTGAAGAACTTCATTAATGCTCTTGTTGCATTTGATGCTTTCATTTTCACTACCATGATTTCCAGTTTGTCCATTTTAGTCTCTATTAGATTTAAAACTCGTAAATATGAACAAATGATGTTTTCTCAATCTTCTTTTGGAGAAATCCTCTTTCTAACTTGTGGAATCCTTTTCGAATTTCCCACAAATTCACCACCAACTACCAACTATGTTAGACAATTATAGGTCTCATTACAAGTCTGAATCTCGATTTGCAATGAAAAATACCATCCTGCACTCCTCTAAATCCAGTGGCTCATCGACATTGCCCTCGATATCAATTTTGCTGGGTCCTATATTCATGATGCCGCTTCATTTCCCTTCTTTGTCTTCTGAGATATTAGGAAAGTTATCAACATTCAGTGGGAGTTGTATTGGGAGACTATAAGAAATCTCCCATTTTCAATTTCCAATTTGATGCAATCTCATCATAGTCTAATAGCTTGGAAAACTTGAAATGCATTCATATGTTTAGTCCATCATGGTCATAGACAAGATATAGGAAACATTTTTTCTGTAGTTACATTCCAAATTTTTGGCTGGAGTTTTCACAATCATGATTTCTTTTTATAACTCAGAATGCATTCACATTGGAAATCAGTTCACATTTCTTTTGTATTTTGACAATTTTCCGAACTCTCTCAAACATCAGAGTTTATATTCCAATTTTACTTATTGATTTAGTTCTAAATTGATAGCCAGTTTCATTATCAAGAACTTATTAATGATAGGTTCGGCTACATTTACAGCATTTTGCATTTTTTAAGGTAAATTACTGTGATATACTTATTGGAATTCCCATATTTAATTAACTCACTTCTCAAAATGGCAAAAGCCTTTCCCTGATTTTGTTGTGCATTTATGTTCATCATAAACAATTAACAGGCTTCTTATCTCTTCCTATTCCTGTTATAGATATCCTCTGAGAATGGCCATTGTAAGCAAACCGTCTTTTTATAGTCAGAGATCTTTCCTAGACTTTTGTACCCTTATTTTCCCTTTGAAACTTCTTGTTATCACTTACTAAGTATCTCTCTCCAATTGCTTCCCATTGTCCTAGCAATACTCTCACATCTTTAATTACACTACCCTTTTTTTTTTTTTTTTTTGTCGATTTCAATGGGGAAGACAATCCCCTACCCGTTTTCTCAACTAGTTTAGGAGTCCGTTTTTTTCAAAGTATTACTGGGGTTTTGTTAGTGGGAATGAAAACCACAATGTGGTGATTAGGGTGTTGCCACCACAACCCCAGCCCTTTTGATTCTTTCTTTTTGAAATGTGGCCTATCTTCTCGCTTCATTTTTAAGAAAAATAACTGATTTAAAGTCTAATTATCGTTCTTTATCTCATCTTATATCTCTTTTCACCTCGCATCCAAAAAGTTACCGATTAGTTTTTTGTTTTCAGAGGGATCTCCTCTTTGGAAAGGAATACTCAGGTTGTTATCTTTCTTTAAGGAATCTTATCTGTTGCTAATTTGGATTGGATAATATTTAGTTGAAAGAAATAGGTATTGTTAAGAATGCGTCCTAAATTTGGGTGGCTCCCCTTTAGTGCACGCTCTTTTTCTACTTTTGTTTAGCATAGTACTAGTTTTTCCTAGGGGAAACGTTTTTTGTATTCCCAACTAATTCCGACCTTAATTATATACAATTATCTAATATTTTAGATTGATCAAAATGGACTAGGTGAAAGTGAAAAAAAAAAAAAATGCACTATTCCTTCTTAATGGTCATGTGTGGTGGCTTAAATCCTAGCTAAAGAACACTTGGGAAATGAGTAAGGGAAGAAAGTGTAATGGAGGTCATAGAACTTGGGCTTGGAGACATAGATTGATATATTGGTGCTATAAAAAATGATGTTTATTGAGCATGATGCAATGGACATTTTTCAGTGGGCTCACTTCCCTCATCTTCATTATGGATTGAGCCTGGAAAGGAACAACCAAGTCACATTGGATGAAGTATTAGTCAATGAGGGGTCCCAAAGCGACCCAATCATCCACCAAGCTGTGTAAGTAGAAGCATTGAAGTCCGTTTCTTTCTTCTAAACTTTCGAGACTAATTTTTAATTGCTTTTGTGCCTTTGTAATATGCACCCATCAAGACTGAGCACTTCTCTTTGAGCCCTCCCTCCTGGAGGCAAAGATTCGGGTTTTGCTCCCAGTCTTTCCAAAAGCTTGTGTTTGTCCTTTGTTTTTAAATAGTTATCATAAGGCTTGCTTTCTGTCACTTCACGTGTTCCTATATTTCATACGTGTATACTGCCTGATCTTGGTTACATGGTGTGCAAGGAGCCAACAACAATGCTATCGGGTTCAAGTTTGTGAATTTGTTGTTAGCTCACTGCCTATGTTGTTCGATCAAGATTTGCGAGCTTACTGTGCCCAGCTTTTTACCCCTATGTTTTTTATTTTTTTTTGTCTTTGGTTCTATTGGGCTTAGTGCAGGCTTGGGCTAGGGCCGCTTCAGCCCTATCCACGCCAGGCTCGAGGGCGACCGTACAAGGACCAAGGGCAGCGGTCTTGAGCCGGCCCTATAAGGACAAACGGCAAGTCCGGCCGTTGCCAGCCTTATCAACTATATTTATAGAGAGATTTAGACGCCTTTCTCCAAAAAAAAAAAAAAAATTATTTCAAAAGCTTGATCCCCATTGGGCTGCTTCAGAAACTCAAGCTAAAATTGCTAGGCGGCGTTCTAAATTGATGTTCCCCATGCACAAACAGTTTGAGCAACACGTACCACACAACATGCTTCAACTTTTCCTAGATTGAGTTCAACGATTTTAGAGAGATGCGGCCTCTCACTCTCAAAGATGAGTGGCTTACCAGGAATTCCAAAGGCTTACAAGCAAATTTCCTTGATTTAATGGAGATAAAGAAATTTTACCCATGTCTAGGGTTGTTTTTCCAAATTTTTCATTATCTTTGATGATGTAGACTTATTATCCCACACGTGGGCCCTCGTAGAGAGTATAATAAGGACCCAAAAACCAGAAATTTTTTATGTATATGCATGAGTGTACTGCTCATTTACATCCACCTGCGAAACCCAATCTATAAGTAATTAGAAAATTGTTTCGAGCAGCGAGTGCTGCATTTCCACATTTGCGGTACTCACTCGAGGTATATATCATCCGTCTTGATGCAAATAGGTAGTCCATCTTGAAACAATTGATAATAATGGTTCAAATATTTTATTATTGAAACTATTATTTTGAACTTTCAAATTTTAAATCTCAGATTACATGTCTTTAAAAAAAAAAAAAAAAAAATCTAAAAATCCTTGTCAAAAATAGAATTTTAAGAGGTGACTGGTTTATGGACTCATAGAAACCGTGTCCCATGTTTCTTTTTTTGATAATTAACCGTGTCCTAAGTAATTTTAAGATCCAAATTTTTTTATTTTTTATAATAATTATCCAGTACTTTTTAGGTGGCCCCTAAAATTTGAGACCCAAAAAACAGCAGGAGTGGCGCACAGTAGGTTCGTGCATCACAGGCGTAGGTGTAATACAATTAAAAAAGATGTGAGATTTGAGTGAGTTAGTGTATTGTTCTTTTATCATGGGAGTACGTGCCTTTGCAGCCTTTCCATTCACCCGTCAACTTCAAAGAGCCAAAGTCATAAAAAGCAAACAAAGATAAAACCAAAGGCACGAAATTTGATGGATGGGAATGAAATGAAATGAAAAGCCTCACCTTTCCTTTACGTAGTCTTATCCTTCACAGGATGCCCTTCCATTTTCCTTTTTTTTTTCTTTTTTTCTTATTTTTAGTCACAATTTTTGCCAAATTTTACGCTGGTTGGAGATGACTCTTCTAAGCCTATAACATAAGATAAGATTATGAGTTAAGTTCACTTTTCTCTTAAAATGACAACAAAATTTAAGTTATAGGTCTTAGTTAGTATATCCATTTCCTTTTCTGAAAACTCTGCCAAAATTTATGTTTGTTGTTAAAGGCCTAAAAGTACTTCGTTGCCATTCGAAGTTGGTTCCAATCTTCGCGTCGTCAGTTTATAAACTCCAGTTCAATTTTTACAATTTAGCGAGATTAGTTTCTTTCTGATTTTCCTAACTGTCCCTTATTGATTACACTTACTATTAAGTTAGGGAAAAGTTTACATAGAGCTGAAGCTCTAACCAATTAAATTAGAGCCCTGCTCAAAATTTTCACCAAAAAAAGTTGTTTTGATGCCTAAATATCCTCAAATTCATCATCTCGACATCAAAATGTATGGACATGAGAAAAAAATAAATTTCAAGTTTTGAAAATATTGTAACTTGTAACATATTTTTGGGCAGTCAAGTTTCAAGTTTTTTAAGATCTGCTCGATCTACATTATTTTTTAAGCTTTAAAGTTTATATTTTAAAGCTATCGCAAAGATTTTCAGTGCTGAAACCATTTTTTTTTTTTACACTATTTGAAGGTGGGCTCTAATTTAATTGTTTGGAGCGTGGGTTCTATAAAAACCACACCCATTAAGTAACTAAAAAACGAAAGAAGCAACCTATCCAAATGCAACGAAGTTATCCACCATTTAACATTTTATCCATTTTCAAGTGTTCCAACTCACATCAAGTGTATTTGATGGGTTTTTTGAAATCAAGTAAAAGTAACAAGAAAATTTTGATTAGCTTGAGGTGCATTTTGATGAATTTTCCCAAAAAAAGAGACTTTCTTTGGGTCAAGTTTCCGCACCGAGAGTATGATGCAGATTTGTATAACCTTCATCCTTGTTATGCTATGCGTTTTGTGAAAGAGGTTAGGGCTGTGGTGGTAGAACCTCTTATGCCCAACTACAGTCTAGGCTTCCATTCTCATTTAACCCATTAAAAAAACAACTGACAATTTAAAAAAAGGGGTAAGAGCTCGTTGCCCCCTTTAATTACCCCAAAAAAAAAAAAACAGGAAACCTACCTAGCTGTGCGAGTTTTGCTAGCAAACCAGAATAAAAAACTCTTATCAGCCCTAAAGTTTGTTGCACATTGCTTGAGAGCAATTGTTTCAGTTTAACCTAATCACACATATCCCTCTCTCTTTTTTCATCTAATCGAAGGTCCCTAATCACATATTCACTCACAGATCACAGCGTCTCTCTCTGGGTGTGAACACTGAAAACATGGGTGTATGTACTAACGACCGCTAAGATTTCGAAACCAGACTGCATTTTCATTTGGAGTAGGAATTATATCGTGGAAAATGAGAAAACCATGTTTGTTTGTTGTATGGCTAGCAAGTGGCATTAATGAGATTGGATTGTTGAGAATTGAGACAAAAAAAAAATGCGCACAGAATCTGAAAAGTCAGCTTCATGGCACAGATGAAGAGGGAGAGAGAGATTTGGAAGGGTACAGTAGAGAATCTGAGATGTCATTTCGCTTGACAATTCCCCTTCTTCACTCTTTTCACGCTGTCTTTTCAGTCACAGCTAACGGTGTCAGTACACATTTAGCTCTCTCTCTCTCTCACTAGACTTAGGTATGCTATGCTGCCTTCCTCTCTCTAGGTAGCTTCAAATTTTTAGTCCCCGAACTCGTATGAAGACAGGTGGCCCCCCTTAATAATCTATTTTTCAAATAAATTCTCCTTACTCATATGTAGAAAGGTGGCCGCCTCAATAATCTATTTTTCTAAATAAATTTTATTCCTGGGCTTTAGGAATCAGAAAATACAATCCCTAGCGAGGAGGAGATCATAAACAATTAAATATATGTTTTAGAATCAAATAATATTTGAGTCTTTGGTTTCACTTTATTTTGGAGGGACCCCATCAATTACATCCCGCTTTGGATGATTTATGCCTTGGGCCAACGCAAACGTACAGTACTTCCCGCAGCATAAACAACTTTTCCTTTTAATATTTGGGTATATGCTATTTTTCGTTTTTCCTTTTGAGAAATCGATTGCTCTCTTTTTAGTCAACTTCATAATGTGATGCTTATCATAAATTTTAGGAAAACTTACCTACGGATACAAAATCTAATCGAAAAATATAGAAAGGTCCATATTTTTCCAAATATTACATGGTTTCTTCTTTTTTTTTCTTCTTTTTTTTTTTCTTTTTTTTTATCGAACTTAAAAATTGTTACCTAAGATTTAGGTCACTTCTGGCCTAAAATATTATACCAACAAATATGCGTGGCTATAATATTTATAATAGATATAAGATGTAAGTTTCCTCGCTATAAATAAGAAAATCTTGTAGTGCATAAACTCCTTGACTATTTCAAAAAACAACATATTTAAGCAGCCCATGTAAACTTTAAGGATGTTGATAGTTGAATTTATGAGGTTATTTTGACTTTTTGCAATACATTTTCATTTATTGATCACACATTGTTTTGGGCCTGCCAAGAACATTGACATTACCAAGAGTAATGATCATGTGAGGCCTCTTATACCCATGTGCGTAGGATCCCAAAGAATCACCATTAAATTTGGCACAGATCTCTATAAAAGTTATCATATGTTGTGATAACTAGCAAATAAAACCAATATCTTCCACACTTCTTTTCTCAAGATTGACATGAACCTAAGGAGTGTTGCGATGGTTGGAGGGACTGGAGGAGCTCGCCCTTCGCAATTTTTCTTATTCTGGAAAAAATAAGAGAGAGGCCTGAATTTTCTTATTATGGCAAAAATAAGAGAGAGAGAGAGAGAGAGAGATCAGTTAAAAGTGTGATTTATTGGAAACAAAGATGTCGTAGGTGGCTAAAAGAAGGGGGTTTGAATACGCGGTTCTTACATGCAACTAAAAATTGATGGGTTATGGAGGGGGATAAGGTAGGTTTGGAAGATATTATTGTTAAGTATTTTCAGGATGTATTTTCATCTAGTTTTGTCCCAAACACTAAATTTAATCAAGTTCCTTTCCATAAGTTACCATCTCAGTGGAGAAAATGGATTGAGAGGCCTTTTACTGAAGTTGAAATCAAAGAAGCAGTGTTTAGTTTGGTAGGGGACCATGCCCCTGGATCTGAAGGATTCCCTTTGGGTTTCTTTCAGTATTTTTGGGATTCTATTAATGAATGAAGTTGTGGAATGATGTATAAATTCTAAAACAAGGGGGGTGGTGAACGCGAGTCAAAACTCCATGCTCATTGCCCTTATTCCAAAAAGGGGATGATGGAAAGTTTAAGTGATATTAGACCTATTAGTCTATTATTCCGTCAGCTGTACAATTTTTTTCACCAAGTGTATGCCTAGAAGATTAAAGAAGGTACTA